CCCTGGCAACCCAGCTGGCCGTCTCCCGACGGGTCATATCCACAGCGGTCACGATCATCGTCCTAATCGCAGCTCAGGTTGGGCAGACAGCCGAGAAGCTCTCGTGGAGGAGAGGAGAGCCTCTAGTGGCTTCTTGTTCAGAGTGGTATGTATCAACAGCACCAGACTCCTGCCTGGTAACGAGATGCGTGCAATTAATGAAATGTTTATATTTCAGTTTTGTCTGTCCCGCGGCGCAGCTAAACGTGTGTTTCTATTTTCTATTTCTTTCATTAGCGAAGGTCGGATGCAATCTATTACAGCTGCTGCAAATATAGGTGGTCAAAATTGTGGCTCCACTTTTTGTGGTAGGTATGTACGCCAAAAGGCTCTGAACAACGAGCAACGAGCATCACACATTTTTTGTACTTACTATACCATCGGCCGGATGTTCGTCTGTACATTTTGCGAACAGACGTTCGTCTGTACTGTTCGTTGCGGGCGTTCGTCTGTAATTTGCGTTCAATTATTTATTTGCAGTGAATCTTAGCATTATTTACAGTGAATCTTAGCAAGGCTTATAAGTTATAGGTCTATGATTGAATAATGTGTCTGAATAGCAAGCTAAATTGTGAGCAGGGTAACCTTTTAGCTTCAAGCTGAAAGTCATAGCTTCCCCAGAGACTCTTAGCGCCCCAGAGTTGATTTGTCTACGTTTAATCATTTTTCTTTTTTGACTTCAGCTAACTTCAAGCCATCTTATAAGGGCGTAAGCACAATCATTGACTCTATCACCTGCAATCCACTGCTTTCTTGATTAATCATCACTGAAGTATTGGGGAAATTCGCTTGTCAGCTGTTCAGCACGCACTATTATCGAGACTTGTTGCCAGCGTTCCTCTCCTCTTCTGACGGCTGAGCGATACGGCGCTCTCATTCGAACTACGTTAATGGTGAAATGAGCCAGGAAAGTTTCACAAAGTTCAGCAATAGCTCAGCAAATCATTTAAACTTATCCCGGATAAAGAGAACTGTAAAGCGTTGATTGGACAAGCAATTAGAATACACGACAGTGCTGTCTACTCATTTCCACCCGCCGTTGCCTCTCAGCACATGCAATATGCATATTGCATATGCATGTAAGAACATACACGTCGCCAGGTTGGGACCTGCTACGGCCATTGTGATGCAGCCGACACGATGAGCAGAGCTCGGAGCGCAGCCGTGGCATTCGTTCCGGCCCATATTGACTTAGTATGCATATGCTGCTACACTTACATAAAGCGCAATACACAAGAGTTCAGATAATAAGTCACTTTAGATGAAATGCTCATGTAGCACGAACTGTCGCTGGCAGCGACTTTCAGGTCGGCTGGAGGATGACGTAGGATGTCCTCAGCTCATGGAACATGGCGTCCGTGAGGGGTACACAACACACATCGATCGTCTTCGAATTGGCGAGTGCATCTGGATATTTTTATATTTGTACAGTATTTACCTTATTCCCTTCCTTGGAATCAGCTCTGCACGGTAGATGCCACTTACTCGAAAGTATTTACATTCTATGTTGTTTGTCTCTTCCGCTTCCCACCTTTTGATGCCTGCCAATTCTCTGTGGTATTTCAAAGGACAGACGGTGGAGAGGGATGGTGGTGACCTTGCTGATCATGGACTGACCGGCCGTCGTTCACCAGCAGAGCTACTTTCCTGCGGTCCGTCCCTGTGAACACGGTGATCCGCTCCGTAATGAAGCCCCACAGTCATTGCCGGCATTCTGATGCAGGACAAACAACTCTCACAGTTAGCGCCAAGGCTGAACATACACAGTTGACACTTTATAGCGAGTCCACATTGAGAAACAGAGAAAAAGTATACAATTACATGTCAATTGTCGTGAACAATTGAACAATTACGATGAAAAACGGGTCATCATGAAATGGTACAACCCATTTAAACATATTTCAATCCACCATTAGCTGTATATCATTTACCTTGCAGTCGATAAAATGCTCAGTTCATATTAATAGTTATGCTGAGTAGCTACAAGAGCTATAGTGGACTAACAATGACTTTATGGGTAGGTAGGTATCTACCGCTGACACATTGATTGGTAAGCTGTTATTATTATCGCCCATTTTTTAGCACAAAATATTTTAAGAGGAAGATCAGAATGGCTTTTTTACCCATTGTCCTCACAAACTTATGCATTTTTATGCGATATTGAGTTGAAAGGAAGAGACGTCCTAGAAAACAGACCATAATGAAGCTCTAGATCAGTTACATTTGTGATATGTGAGCTAACCACGTACAGATTCCACACGTTATTTAAAACTTCTTACAAGACGTGCGCCTGCAGAGTTATTTAGTGATCCACCAGGCAGGCGCGGCAAAAATAGCGCACACGCGCGCCGGCGATTCGGGCTGATAGCGGCAATAGTGGTGCAGACATAAATCACCTCCCTCTCCGGGCTGCGGGCGGGGGCACTGGCGTCACACTGCCGTCCTGTGACGACCTGCAGAATGAACAAATCCCCCCCCCCCCCCCGGGCATAGCTGCACCCACGCTATGACTTGTGCTGGAAATAGAATCGCCCCGTGTACCTAAATTATTACGCAAACGGTGCATAATCGGAGACATTTTCTTTGATGTTTGTTGTTAATCATTGCGTAGCAATAACAATATAATGACAATCTGGCATTGCAATGATATTATTTTTTTGGGATAGACACCGCATCTACCTACAAATGAGCCGTACTTGAAAACAAATAATAAAACATTATATGCGTTTACTGCCGGTATTTTGTGATAAGATTACCTACTTCTCAGCTTTCCTACGTGCGTAAGCACATGAATGCATGACAATATCTCAGCCACCACCCGTATTGACATTTTCGTAGCGGCTGTCGTAGAAAGGGGGAGGGGTCGATCGAAATCCCAGCTGCTTGGTGCCTGACCGAGCTCGATCTTTCTTGGAGGAGGGGGGGGGACGTGGACATTGTTTGTGAAAAGAGGAACCAGTTGTGTCTAGGTCATTACGTGACCTACCACGTTAGGTCACTGACCCAAATGTTTGTAAAATTTAAACTTCTTAGAAGTTTTTTTTTAGGTGAGATTTGTGTGTTTCTTTTCAGGGTCCTGATTTCGAGTTTCCGTTTGCGCTGTTCAAAGACATTTGATTCTTGTTTTGGGGTAGGTCGGGTCAGGTAAGGAGAGTCAACCATCAGACGTCCAGCCGGCTATCCAACGTAGGTGGGCCTCTCATCATGAACACCAAGAATAATTATCAAATGTTCGACGTGTGCAAAATTAGTTATGAGCTCCAAAAATGCGCTAATAGTCGTTAAAGTAAAAGGCAGCCGGGATCACCAAAAATCATTGCCCTTGGCTTGACCTTCACGTGACCCAGAAATCACAAGGTCATGTCAATTTCTGCATCATGTAATGTTCAGGGCAGGTGAAAAAAGATCAAATCGAGGGTACTGATAGTTTCGTTGCGATCCGTCGTTTTTTTACGCGAGTTATTCACGAAAAAAAACTGTAAGTGCGAGGGTTGACAATTGGCATCTAGAGATATGACATGAACTGATCACAGACGGTCTTTTTTTCTGGTTGACTCGGTTTCTCAGATAAGAAAGCTGGTCTTCTGCGATTAAGCGAGTTCGGTCAATATGCAGCGACCGTAAGGATCACCCTTTCTAACTCGAGAGCTAATATGTCTGCATGACAAATGCTCTCGGGGCAAGGGGTGCGAGGTGGCTCGGTAGTCGGTAACTGCCGACTCATTCTGATTTAACCTAACCATATCGCATACAGTCTGTTGGCGAAGTTTTAATTAAGCAAAACTTTCATCAATGGGCACATTAACGTCATCTGAAGATACTTGACTCATCGTTCAGTGGTCGCGTCAGTATTCAGGTAGCGCTTTCATGTGCAATGCAGCAATCAATTGGATGTCCTCTGGGACACCAACTAATCAAAGTCGCGCTGGTCTGACATGCCCCGGTTCAGCGGGCCCCGGCAGACCGGGACGGCGCCTCTTTCTCGCACCTCGTCTGTCGCCGACGCAGTCTCTGTCGCCGCCGACGCAGTCGCCGCCGCGTCCGACGATCCCCTTGCACCGCTCGGCCGGCTGCGTTCAGTCGGGACGTCGACCGCCGGGGTGGACGGACGGGACAGCGGGCGACTCTGCCGACTGCGGGCCCTGTCTGCTCCGTGCTGAGACGGACAGAGTTACGCCGCGTGTCAGAGGTCAGTCAGGTCAGTTCCTGTTCCACCCCGCTCCGCGCCGCTGCCGGTAAAGTCCGGCCGTCGGCTGGAGTCGATCCCGGGTCGGCGCCGGCAGGTCGGCAGCGCCGTCCCGCGCGTGCAGACCGAGTGGCAAGGTCGACTGGCTGCCAGTGTTCGCCATGGGCCGGGCCAGCCCAATGGGCCATGGGCTGGGCTGGGCTACGGGCTGGGCTGGGCCCTCATATATGAAGAATCAATGGGCTGTGGATGGGCTGGGCCAAGAACTGTAAAGTGGAGTCAGGCCGTCAGGGGTTCGCAACTGAGACAAAAACTATAACTACATAGCTTATTACTGTGCAAGACTCAAACACGAGTCAATAAAGCACGCATGCAATGTGCATTGTGCATGCGGCTCGCAAAATATTGTTCTTTGCTACCTTTGGGTACCTGTGTGGTGTCAATAATTTTTAACCCGTTCATTTTTGACGGGCTGGGCCGGGCTGGGCTTTGACACTTTTACCATGAATGGGCTCGGGCTGGGCCGGGCTGTGAACCCATGGGCCTGGGCTGGGCTGGACTAAGATTTTGCGGCCCGTGGCGAACACTGCTGGCTGCCGACCGCCGTGGGACGTGCCCCGGCCGCTGTGCGGCAGTCTGCCCCCCGCCCGCCGCCGTGCGGACGTGCTCGCTGCCCTCTGTGCTGACCGCCTGCCCTCGGAATATTCACCAGCGAGGACTGTCGGTGGGTGTGGACACTCCCGGCCCCTCCTCCTCGCGCAAACAGCTGAGGAAGGTGTTACCTATCACCAGGTATCTGAACAGACCCGGAACCCAATCCACTTTGTACACCTGGTCCAAAAACCAGTTATAGTGGTGTCGTGGTTCGTTGAACGTGCGACCGATTTGTACCGCCCTCCTATCTGCCACTAAATCAAAACTCATCAGACTATCACCTAGTCATCGTTATCCTTGTTGACGACCATTCCCACGCAATCTGCACGAACTGTCGAGTGCCGGACCGGACTGAGCAGACTGACGGACACGCTCACCGTCACTTCGTGACGCGCCCCGTGCCGTGACGCTCTCCGTGTCGTGACTCTCCCCGCGCGGTCGCGATGGAGACTGTGACGGCGGTGGAGGACCCACTAAACGCCACCAGTGCTGAGGATGGCGGCAACTCGAGCGCCTACATCGACTACGACGCCGAACAGTCGGTCCAGATCTACTTCTGGGGCGAGCTGGCCACGGCGCTAGTGGTCTACGGGCTGACGTTCGTCATCGGCTTCATCGGCAACGTGCTCATCCTGGTGGCCATCACGGGCAACCGCAGGATGAAGTCGGTGACCAACACGTTTCTGGCCAGCCTGGCCACAGCCGACCTGACTCTCATCTGCCTCTGTATCCCTGTCAAGGTGAGATGCGCAGTGCGCGAGCCTGCGCCGGTGATGAGACCGCCGTTTAAGACATCTCGCGGGTCAATCGGGTCAATTGAGAACCCCACACTCTCATCTTGGGAACCTCTTGGGCCCCTCAAAGGCCCTTCGGGCTTGTTGGATTGATCTGTCGCTGAATGTTCGTGTTCACTGGTGTCGTTACAAATTTTGTCAGATAATAGCTAAACCATTTTTTATCAGTGCCTGCCAGAATTCATATCTCTTCTTGAAAGCGCGAAGAAGATATTGCAGTTTGGTCAGTTTTCAAGCAACCTAATCGATTTTGGTACTCTTTTAAAGGTAGACTGCCACCTTTTTTCCACAAAACGGTTTTCACTAGAGCTGAGCCACCTATGTCCCAGACTGAAGTCGGTTTTCCGAAATTCGAACCCGTTTGCGAGAAATCGGAGACCAAAGTTCAGTTTGATGCCATTTTTTTTAGTCTAAGAAAACCGACATCTCTACTGTTTATCGATAACTTTGAAACATGAATGTTCTTATCTTTTGGTAAATATATGTCAAAACTTTGATTGTTTCGAGATCAGAGAAGAATTTTGGAGTGTCAAAATAAAAGTTAAACTTATATATTCAGTAGTTCATTTTTTTCCAAAAAAGTGTGGGAAATGGGGTTTAACATGGGCCAGACCCATTCCAAATGAGCCATGATTTTTAAATGTTTTACGAACTTAAATGCAAAATAAATTAAACATGGCCAATTTCTTATGAAATCATATATTAGTAAATCATAAAATACCTTACTTTTTCAAATAAAATGTAATAATCTTATGACCTTGAAGTCTAGTGATGTGTAAACATTGTCGCTAGACATTACCCGATTGATAATTGTATGATAATCGACAATTTTTTTCGCGATTCACGTGATGATACTTTGTCAGGTGAATTCTAAAATTTTGTTTTGTCCAGGCAATAAATCATAGGCCGATCTGAGAAAACTTTTTGAAGGTGGCAGTCTTCCTTTAACGGGTTTATTCCATGTTGTTGCCTGAACTCAGCCACTTGCGACCTTTCAGCGTCCTCCAATTTGTACAGCGATCTAACAGTGTCAGCTATAGTCCGACTACTTCAGAGTCTTTGGGAGAGCTGCTGTAGCGTTATAAGTTGTTTTGCTTATTCCTGCCGCTGCCCTGCTTCAGTGAATTTAGGAAACTTGTGTTTACTTGGTTGAGGAGCAATAACTTTGTTAAAAAAGTAAGACCTAAACTTCTTTGAAAACTATTGTAAACGGGCTGAAAGCAATGTTGAGTTTATTGACTATATCCATAGTTCAACAACTACATTTTGCTTTTAAGATGGAATACCTAAGCGAACATTATGTGAGGATAAATGATTACAATGAAAACTTACGAAAAATGTTGTGTCATATCAACAAGTTAGCAAATTAATTTACGGAAAAAATCATAGCGAACTGACACCGGTACATTGGCAGATGGATCTCTTCGTCTTTTACAAAGAGTCCGACTTGTTCATTACTGTCCTAATCAAGAAAAGTCTGAAGATGCAGTAAAAACACACCCAAATTCTAAAAGTCGTAAAAGATTGGCAAAATATTTCGTCAAAAGATTCATTATCTTTCCAACTGTATTATCAGTGGGCCTGTGGGTATGTACGGCATGGAGCCATGGCGAGCAGTGAGAAGTGTTACTTACGGCATGACTTCGGGCTCGAAACATATTCGATTAGCTACACGACCACTCTTACCTTAGCTAGACGGAGAGAAACCGAGCCATTTATCTTTACGGTTACACTGTCCAATGATGACGTTGTCACAAGAAAACCCGCTTCAATATTCACTCTGTGAAGTCATTTGCTCCGCTGGTCCTTGTTCCGGCTTTATGTGACCCAATGCTATATAGTTATGGCACGCGCAATCGCCAATCACTAGTAAATAGTTGCTTCTCGGCTACAGAACCGTGAACAACCAGGGTCCTTTTTCAACAAAAAGATGCCTATATAGCTAATACCGAGGCACACATAGGTTGTACGTGTAGGTCTATTCTGAGTCATAGCGCTCAGCATAATGCTGTTGTTTAAACTCCGCTCGGGAGAAAAATGAAAGGAATGCTGCCATGAAACACAAAGCTGACATTTAAGGACAGCTTGTCAGAAAACTGACAATATGATTCATAAGCACACTTTGGATATGGATCGCAACTGACTGTGGCCTGTCATCTTCATAGTCAACCAGTCGTGCAAGTGTCTCTTTGACGTTAACCCGCGCCCCGTTGGGCTCTGCCGAGCAACGCGCCCGGTTGGGGGGGGGGGCATTTTGCCCCCCCCCCCTAAGATCTCGAGAACCACGCAACATAGCGACAAGCGGTAAACGGCGTTGGATAGCCCCAACGGGGAACTACCTCGTGACCCAATTTTATTGACCTAGGTCAAACCGATGACGTCACAGGTCAGGTCAAAGGTCCAATTTTCACCGTTTACAGGCATTTCAAGAAATGCGTTGTAAAATCGAGTAAAATGCATTTCATTGAAAATCATCGATGGGGAAATGTTCTTCAAACACATATTTTGCTATTTGAGGTCACTGATACCAGGTCAGGTCACAGAGGTCAGGTCACGGGGGGTCACAATATGAAAGTGTCGTGTGATACATGTTTTATGGTCCATTTTACATGACAAATGCGATTATGTGGGTTAGGCAGCCTTTGGGGCCAGCTTAGGTCACGTTTTGGTCAAGGTCAGGTCAAGGTCAGGTCAAATTAGGTCAAATTTCAAAGTTGATATTTTTGCATAAAATGGGTATCGAATCGATGCAGCTCGTCACGGTGAGTTCAGTGGTGGTCTTTGTTTTGCCGTACGTTGTCTAGAATCGCTAAAAATTGAGTTCAAAAATTTGACGTCATCATTTTTGAACAGTTTTTCCGCTATAACTTGGCCAAAAAACGAGATATCGATCTGAAATTTGGTATGTATATAGAAGAGCGCTTGGACTATCACATGTATTCCGGCTTTTTCGAAATTCGGAAAAATTTTGGATTTTTTATTAGTTTTTCAAAAAAATCTATTTTTTTATTTTTTTTTTGTCAAAAACCAAAAATTTGAAAATCCGAGATAGCAGTTTTGTAGCGCCGCTTTTTGTCTACTAGACCATATAAAGAACTTTGAAATTGCTTGATAACTGTAGATTTGGTGAGCGTTTCAAGATTGCATGTTTTTTTGCTCATTTTTGCTCGAACATGACCTCAGTTTGACCTCAATAACTCCTGACCTAAGGTGACCTAAGACTTGAAATTGGTGTGAAGGTGTCAAATTGATGCCCGGGAAGGTACTGAAAATTTGGTGCGTTTTCTTGCTATTCAGGAAAAACCACAGGGGGGGGGGGCAAAATGCCCCCCCCCCCCCCCAACGGGGCGAGGGTTAATTGTGAGTAGGCACCTGTTTATGTTCCATAACAATAGAACGCTTATTGCTGTGAATGGCTCTGAGTATGTTGGTTGAGGAGTGTTTCTCATGAATTTGATCGCAACGAAATGCTTATCTCGATGACACCGTGGCATCTCTCTCCGACGGTTAGTACTCCGACCGACTCACCACAAAATCGTCCTATTTTCATTGTGTTTCGATTCAGCAGCATAGCTTGACTAAAAAACTACTCTGGTCTCAAAACATTTATCTCAATAGGTACATATTGGGTCTACTTTGTAAAACTGGATAACATATAAAGGACTGTTTACCTTACTGAGAGTGAGTTATGCTATTTTTTTCGACGAATATTATCCTCAACTGTTATAAACTATTGAGTAACATTTCAATGTTCATTTTCCTTTCGGCATACGTGTGAAACAACGCATCATGCTATTTTCCTCCGGACCCTTTTTACTATGCACTTTGCAATGGCTTTGTTTTTAACAGCTAATTCCGTCCCCGGGGAATTTCCAGCGTTCAGAGTCAATCCCGAATCCAAGGCCGGCTCATCAAATATTGTCACAGGGAAACCAACAGTTGTCGGCGGCTCCGATGTGTATCACACCATATTGTTCTGTATTATATTGACGGAACATGGTCGTGTTTGCGCAGGAAACACGTTTTTTTTTCGGAGGCGCTCGTGATAGATGATTACGATCATCCACAGAAGTATGGATAAAGCCACCCGCTAATGGCCGGCGAACAATACCGCGCTGTCGGCTCAAATGAGCCGCAGCGACCGATTCGCCAAAATCGGTGTCTTACCGCTCCTTCCGTCCGGGCGGAGTGACAACAGTAGCCGTACGAGTCGGTTCGGTAGTTTGCCGCTTGGTTTGCCGTTCGTTGCCGAGGCTCTGCCGCTCGCGACGACTGGGTGCGCTGGTCGAGTGGGGGGGGGGGGGGGGGCGTCCAGCCCTCCAGCGCACTCCGCAGGCTCGGCGAGTCGTGGAGAGAAATTGTTAACTGTAAAACAGAAGTTCCAAGAGGTGGATGAAAAGACCTCTTCGGTCGTATAATAGATTCCATTAATTTCAATTACTACTTACTCTTCAGCTGGCTTTGTTCGAGTTTACAACTTCTAGTCAGCACTGAAAGTGCTTTATTTGGTGGCCGTGAATTGCAACCCAGCGCTAGCATGAAGCTTTAGCACCAATTTCCCCGGGCTCCGAGTCAATCTACCACCAGGCATCGTTCTCGGTAAACTCAGACTTCAAACCGACCGAAACAATACTTCGGACCGCTCCCGGGCCCACAGCGGAGATGCGGCGGTCTGGACTGTCGGCCGCCGCGGCAGTGCCCTGTCGGTGGACCCCAGCGCGGTGCCTCGGAAACTGCCGCAGCTGCCGTCGGTGTAGGGATACAATGCGGGTCCGTCGGACCCCCGCCGAGGCGATTGGGCCAGGCTCGTTTCAGTAACGGCCGACCGGAGGTGGTGCTAACTGGCTGGGCGTGCGATTGGTGGAGGGGCAGCAACAGGCCCAAAGGTCTCACCGAACCCCACACGACTATCGCTGACTGTTCTTACCCGCGGCCCGGATCTCACT